GGGGTCCCGACCTGAAACATCAGCTTTCCTGCTCCTCTGATGCTGCCTGGCCTGCTGTGTTCCTCCAGCTCTACACTGTTATTTCGGACTCCAGCATCGGCAGTTCTTACTATCTCTTGTCAAATATTGAAGCAGTCCACATCAAAATGGAGCAAGGCCTAGACAATATTAAGGTTTGGGCTGACAAGTGGCAAGACATTCACACCACACAACTGCCAGACGATGGCCATCTCCAAGAGAGATTCTAATTGTCCCCACTCGCTATCCAGTGGGGAATTCAACGAGGTAATGCTATTATCAATATCCTGGAGTTATCACTGACCAGAAGTTAAACTGGAATAAACATACTGTGGCTGAAAGAGATAGTCAGAGGTTAGGAGTCCTGCAGCGATTCATCTCCTGATTCCCCAAAGCCTGTTCACCAAAGGCATGAGTCAGGTGTGATGGAATACGCCCAGCTGATGCGAGAAGTGCATCTGCAACAACACTCAAGCACCTTGAATTCATCCAGAATAAAGCAAAATCGACTGGCATCACAATCACTCCCTTCACCACGAATGTTCAGTAGCAGCCTGCGCGTACTATGTACTCGATACACTGCAGAAATTCATCATGACTCCTGACAGAACCTTTCAAATTGAAGACTACTTCCAACTAGAAGTACAAGGGCAGCAAAATAAAGGAACACCAGCACCTGCAAATTCCCCTCCAAGCCACTCACTATCCTGACTTTGAAATATATTGCCATTCCTTCACTGCCACCGGGTCAAAATCTTGGAACTTCCTCCTTACCAGCCTTGTGGCCATACATATGCCTAATGAACTGCAGTGGTTTGAGAAGGCAGCTCACCACTACCTTCAAGTGCAATTAGGGATGTGCAATAAAATCGGTCTAGCCAGCAAAGGCCACATCATGTGGATGAATTTTTAAAAAAAACTTGCAGCTTGCTATCAAATTTGGTTTGATAATGTTTCTGTGGCATGCTCTGAATACTTGCAGCAAAAGTACCAAATAAATCTACGTTGAATTCTAGATGGTTCTGAAACAGAAAGACCGTAGCCAACACCAACCCTGTATCAATACATCCAACCAGTGCTGAGTGATGACACTCATCATAGGACTCTTGTACGTTTAATTGAAATGGCTGAATACTAAATAAATTGTCACTATACCAAAGATGAAAGGTCAGGCTCAGTTTAGTGAACAATAGGATTACAAACAAACTTAGGAACAAAGTAAACATTACACAAGTTGAAATCAGCTAGTCTGTTGATTCACTGGAGATGAAGTTTGAAGGTCATCTTAGAGTCAAACATGATTGGATTTAACCTGAGCAATTAGCTGGTATGAAAGATTTGGATTTGAAATAAGGGCAAAGCACAAAGCTTCTGATGAAATGGAGCAGAATTATTTCAGAATCTCATTAAACTAAAGAAAATTCCAGTTCAAGAAGACCTCAAGCTTCACCAGGACAATAAGATCAGAAAGCAGAGATCGTGGATCATTTAAAAGCTAACCTTAAAGGAAACAGTCTTCAAAGCTTTCACTACTCATTGTCTATACCGACACAGGAGGCTAACAGGCACCTCAAAATAGTTTGGTATGTCAGATTTATATAAAGAGCCTGGAACTGGACTCGGGCCCTTTTGAGAGGTCACACAATGTTAGAATACAGCAAAGGCAGATTAAGTGCATACAGGGTGCCACTTAAGACTTGTGGAACTAAATGGAAATATTATAGTAACTTGGTTGCCCTCAGATAGGTAGTGTCAGTGGAAAATTCCAAGCTCCTAAACTATAAGATCAAAACTGGCAACAGTGAATAATTATCCCAGTAACAAAATAAACCTGGGTAGTAAACAGCATACCAAGGCACACAAAATTTTCTAACAGAAAGCTGAACATCAATAGTGGAGAGAAAAAAAATCACGTGCTCCATTGTATATCAAGGGCATTAATTTCGAAGTTATCACCCCAAGAGTTTCTCTCATCTCTAAACATATGCTCCACCATCCACTCTAAAAATTACATATAGGAAATATTTGCATGATTAAATGAGAAACTGAATTTTTCTTAAAATCTTTAGTACCAAAAAAAATTGGAAACAAAAGGACATCATAGCCACTCTTGGAAATATTTGCAACATTTTCAGCAAATATTTGGCTACCTAGAACTACTTCAATTTATCGCTACCTTGTGGCTGGAGACCAAATAATAAGACAGATAAGTTACAATATTATAGACAGCCAAGTACAGTGGTATTAGAAACAAAGTTTAATGAACTACGATGTACACACAACAATGAAAACACTGGAAGAGATCTGGTTAATTATACTGTACAAACAAACAAACAAACTCAATCTCTGTACCAGAGTCTTTAATATAATTAAAACTGTCTCTCTTCAATATTTCTACACAAATGAAGTTCTACTTACTTTGTAATGTTGACACAAGTCTTTCAGATTCACAATTGCATCAGTTTTAGAACCTTCAAATTATACTGCCAACATACCTTCCTTATATTGATATTTTTGATCTAACAATTTTATTCCATCTGGCTTGATGTTCTCTACATCTTGCTTGTCCTCCTTTTCTTCCCATGTTTCCTCTGGCTCATCACGGGTGGAAGCAACTGCTTCAGTCACTTCAACAGGTACAGCAGCAGGCTGGACATCAGTCTCTACTACAGGTTCTTTTACTTGAGACTACAGAAAAATAATTTATTTTGAATATGAAAATCCTAATTTATAGCTACAAATCATTTTGAATTACTGGCATTTTTAAAAAAAGGCTAAATATCTGACAGCATGCTTTTGGGACATGTCATTAATGGTTCATCATTTCACCAACATCAAGTTTGATTGGTGCGTGGGGCCTTCTGCAAATATACCCTGGCTATTATTGAAATCCAGGGTTACTTAAGGATTTGTGACACATCGATTGTGATAGCAAATTATCAGGGCCAGCATTGGGAAGGTAGGCAATTACAATGCCGCTTTCCAACTATGCAAAAATTAGAAATACAAAACAACCTGCCATGCTACAAACCAGGAAATCAATTGGAAAGTCATTTGAAACTATTTTGCTGGAATTAGAAATTTAAAGTAACTAGGAAATGTTTTGCCCCTTACTGCAAAGGAAAAATAATCCCTTAGAACTCAAACAAACCAAGAAATGGTCTAAAAAGAGGATTCTTCCAGCAATGTATCACCATTGAAGACTTAATTCTTAATAGAACCTTTGTTTGAAATCTGTACTTATGCAAAAACAGCACCAAACAGAACAATAGTTTTATTAAACAGCTTTTTGTTTAGAAGGCAATTTTCATTTGCTGCAAAGTGAAAATAAGCTGCTTTCCAACTGTAATTTCTCACTGATAAGCAAGAGAAGGAAGAATGGAATCAAGGGCCAATAATGGGCCGTGTTCCACAGCCAGACTGGCAATACCACTTAAAGGAAAGGAAAGTATCAAGTGTCAGGTTAAAGGGGAAGCAAGGTACCAACGGCCCTTGACTCATGGTGCTGAGATCTCATATTAATTTGGTGAGCTTTTAAAATAATTTGTCTTAGCATTCATTTTACTTCTTAGTACATTGTGCAGCCCATCAAACTTATCCCACATAAAGAAGTCAGAATAATTACAGAACAGGTGGACCACACCAATTCCTCTGTTCTATGTCAATAACCATGAAGACATGTTTCATTCAAAGGCATATCCCACTTTCTTTTACAATGACTGACAGTCTCCGCTTCCATCATCCCGCATTGGGATACTTCTCCAGGCCAGCACCACCGCGTAAAAAGGTTCTTCCTTACAACCCCGTGTCTGTCTTCCAAAGTCTTAAGTCTGTTTTCTCTTCAGTCTTGGTATGATCAACCAATTGGAATAACTGTCCTTTGTCTACTTGTATTTATACAGCACCTCAGTTTAGATTAAAGTGATAAAAATCCAGTATTCACATTTTTAAATGAGCAAAATACAGATGCTGCCAACTTCCCTTAATCAAGTACAGTAATTGGTAATTCAACCTTGTGCTCTACTGCTTTATAAAACAAAACAGGTACCTCTTTGAAAGCATCTAGAAGGTCACCAACTGCTTCTTTCTTGTTTAAGTCCTTTAATTTCCTTTTCTTCTTTGGCACAGATACAGCTGCAGCTAAAGGGAAAGACGTTTAGAAATTATCCCACAAGATCAATTCTAGAGATAGATACAGGTAAAGTCTATTGAAAGGCTAACATGACTAATATCAATCTTACTATAGGCAGAAAGTTAACACAATTAAGCTTCTGATCATTAAGTTTCCAAAACTGCAGAAGTGGCTTAAACTTAGAACTGAGCCACTGATTGGGGTAAAGGAAAATAAAAATGATACATGCATAGCTATTTTTAAGAATCAATAACAGCGCTTTAAAATATTATAAAGCCAGTACTGGCACATTGAAAGATTTCAGCTAAAATGCAGCACGCTCATTTTAGTTGCACTGTTGTGATTAGTGCTGTAAAGGCTGTTCTAGGTTTGGATAATTTAGCCAATCTGCTTTACAATTTCCAGCACTTAAAAGCAAGCTCTCCAGCTCGTGTCAGAAGACCCAAAAACATACAAGTGGAAAGCAGCTTACTGGTTTGAATATACATGCATAGGTTTACATAAAAGAAGCCATTTCATAGCAATGGCGTTATAAAGATCTCTCTCCAGTTACATTTCTCTACAAGCAACAGTAGTGCAAATGTACATAGCAACCATTACGCAATTGATGACAAACAGGTTTATGAACAGATTTTATTTTAAAGTCAGCCGACTGTCTGTGTGGAGTTTGCACATTCTCCCCGTGTCTGCGTGGGTTTCCTCCCACAGTCCAAAGTGCAGGTTAGGTGGATTGGCCATGCTAAATTGCCCTGCAGTGTTCAGGGATGTGTAGATTAGGTGGGTTATAGCGGGATGGGTCTGGGTGGGATGCTCTGAAGGTTGGTGTGGACTTGTTGGGCCGAAGGGCCTGTTTCCACACTGTAGGGATTTTATGATATGACCTAAAGCCAAAAGGCTGACTTCAAGGGAGAAAGCAGGGTTGAGTAGCACTCTCTCAAAGAGGATCGTAGGGTGGAAAAACTGAGTGAGGTAAGGAGTCACTAACTAGTTTAATAAGTCACATGCTCAATTAACCACAAACGTCACTGAACCATGACACATGCTCACAAACGCAAGAATACAGTAAGCTAAGATAACAAGGTGTAGAACTGGATGAACACAACAGGCCAAGCAGCGGAGGAGCAGGAAAGCTGACGTTTCGGGCCTAGACCCTTCTTCAGAAATGGGGGAGGGGAAGGGGGTTCTGAAATAAATAGGGAGAGAGGGGGAGGCGGATAGAAGATGGATAGAGAAGATAGGTGGAGAGGAGACAGACAGGTCAAAGAGGCGGGGATGGAGCCAGTAAAGGGGAGTGTAGGTAGGGAGTTAGGGAGGGGATAGGTCAGTCCAGGGAGGACGGACAGGTCAAGGGGGCGTGATGAGGTTAGTAGGTAGGAGATGGGGTTGGGGCTTGAGGTGGGAGGAGGGGATAGGTGGGAGGAAGGACAGGTTAGGGAGGCAGGGACACGCTGGGCTGGTTTGGGGATGCGGTAGGGGGAGGGGAGATTTTGAAGCTTGTGAAGCCTCCTCTACATCAGGGAAAACAAGCAGAGGCTTGGGGACCGCTTTGCGGAACACCTACGCTCGGTTCGCACTAAACAACGGCACCTCCCAGTCGTGAACCATTTCAACTCCCCCTCCCATTCCTCAGACGACATGTCCATCCTGGGCCGCCTGCAGTGCCACAACGATGCCACCCGAAGGTTGCAGGAACAGCACCTCACATTCCGCTCGGGAACCCTGCGGCCCAATGGTATCAATGTGGACTTCACAAGCTTCAAAATCTCCCCTCCCCCTACTGCATCCCAAAACCAGCCCAGCTTGTCCCCGTCTCCCTAACCTGTCCTTCCTCCTACCTATCCCCTCCTCCCACCTCAAGCCCCACCCCCATCTCCTACCTACTAACCTCATCCCGCTCCCTCGACCTGTCTGTCCTCCCTGGACTGACCTATCCCCTCCATAACTCCCCACCTACACTCACCTTTACTGGCTCCATCCCCGCCTCTTTGACCTGTCTGTCTCCTCTCCACCTATCTTCTCCTCTATCCGCCTCCCCCTCTCTCCCTATTTATTTCAGAACCCCATTCCCCTCCCCCATTTCTGGAGGAGGGTCTAGGCCCAAAAACGTCAGCTTTCCTGCTCGGCCTGCTGTGTTCATCCAGCTCTACATCTTGTTATCTCAGATTCTCCAGCATCTGCAGTTCCTATTATCTCTAATACAGTAAGCTATTCAGTTCCTCATGCCCTTTCTGCTATTCAATGATATAAAGGTGGCATGCAAATCATACTGTATTTACACATTTTTGATCTATATACTACTGTAACTAGGAAAAATCCATCTCAATCTCAGTCTTGAAAATTTCAAGTGACCCAGGAATCCATAGAATTTTTTGGGAGCGTCCTAGATTTCCAAAACTGCGTCATATTTTCCTTCTAAACGGCCCAATTTAAATTTTAAGATCATGCCAAGGAAATGGACCATCTCCACTGACCCCTTCAAATACTTCGTTTTGAACATCTCAATGAATTCGTCCTCAAATAATTTATCTTCACTAAACACAAGGGAATACAAGTGCAACCACCCAATATCATTCTTGCACATTTGCACTGTACTTTATCCAAAACTGATGCATCCTCACTGAAATCCCATTTCTACCTCTCTATGAGGTTAGACCAAAACTTAATACAACCGAAACTGAACTTTCCACTAATTACAGTCCAGTTTCGTGGGCATTAAGACCAATGTTTCATTTATACTTTTCATTACTTTTTCCTAGATCTGAACTATATTTTGGCGATGCGCACATGGCATTCAACACTCTGGACTCCTCAAACTGCTGTAAAGAAAATATATCAATAGATCTTCAGCAGATTTAAAGTGGATGATCTCTAACATCCATACCACAGTTCTATCCATACATCCAAGTTTTCTGCTGCTGCTTGTGCAATTTGATGTCAAATATTATATCACCTAAGTTGGATATAAACAGCTTTATTCAATCGAATCATTGATTAGCATAGGTAAAGGCTGAGACCATAATATGTATCCCTGGAAAACATGGCAACTGAGAACATTCCTTTTATCCTTGGTTTCCTACTTCCCAAAAATCAATCAACTCACAGTACAAGGTTACCACCAATTCAAAGTGCCCTAATAAGCTCTTGTGCAAAGCCTGAATAAACCTTTCTGAGATGACATTTAAACACTCATCTATCCATATTACCCAAGATCTCTCAAATAAAGTGAAGCAGACTATCGAGTTGTGACCTACCATTCATAAGTCCATAACACACTGATACTTGATACTGTCCCTAACACGGTTAACAGCAGCTTCCAGAAGAAGATTATTAAACTTGTGATAGTTTACTCCCTTCTAGCCATAATTGGGACTTGCAATTCTTACATTCCAAACAACTTTGGAAAGTTTGCATCTGCAATCTCCCCACCCATCGAAAGAAGTCTAACAATAAAAACATACAAAAAAGGCACAAGCTTACCCTGTTTCACTGTAGTGAAATCATCAGGTCCACGATATTTAACTCAGTTCCTATTATTTTCTTCATTACCTTTAATCATTTACTACATACCACAAATCAGTAAATTTCTCAGGACTTATCTTTAGGTTCCCAGACCAGTTTTTTTTCCTTCTTCATATTCCTTTGTGCACCCCAGTACTTCTCTAAATCCTCCTGTTTTTTTCCCAACCTGCAGGATTTCCACTTTCCTTCACATGTGTGAAAGAAGGTTCAAGCTTGATACAGTCTCTCCCTCAGAGCAGTTGAAAAACCAAGTAGGCCTTTTATTTATTAGATTTATTTCGGAAATACCAAATACCAATTGTTTGCAAATTACCCATAAACAGCTCAATCCCATTAGTTACAATTTAATAATGGTCTCAGGTTTAGCTTTCATTACAAACTAAGGAAAACAACTGTCATTTTTATGTGAACAAAAATAGAAAACTATTTCCCAACAGCAATGTTCTGACTCCAAATTTAACATCAGTTGTTTGTCACCTGCTACTCTAACAACATACAAGTGACTTTTTCCAGATTAGTCGATAGTTAAAAGGTTAAAAAAATACAATTTAACCTTCCAATTACTTAAATTCTACTCATGCCAGTATTCCAAACGTAGTCCGTCATTCTATATTTTAAAAAAGCCAGATGAATGCTCCAACCATCTGTAAAAATGTATTGCTATAGTTATCTGTTGAATTCTAGACAAAAAAACACAATAGTTTAGCTACAATACTGAAACATGCACACCATCATTCCAATGATCTTTGCTAAAACTGACATTTATTATTATTAATACCTTGCATAGGATTGTCATTCATCTGGGATAAAGCAGCTGCTGTTGGTGAGGCATCCTGTGATTCAATTTCTACAACGTCCTCCTCTTCCTTCTCCTCAGATGTCAAGCCAACAGCACTCTCTTCAGTTTTAGTTGCTTCAGGTTCAGAAATTGGGCTGACATCAGATTCCTGCTGAGCTTCTAAAACTTCTGAATCCTGCTCTGTTGAAAGCTCCAAGCCATTAGATACCTTCAGTTCTTCAGGTTGTGCAATGGGTGAATCCATTACAACTTCAAGTGGTATTTCAAGCGCTGGTTCAAGTGGAGTTTCAAGTGAAGTTTCAAGTGGAGGTTCAGAATTTTGACCAGGCTCATCTACTTGTCCTGCTATAACACCATTACTTTCCACGGCCAAATCTTTTGAGCTAGATTCATCTACAATCACCTCCTCCTCTTTTTGTAGTTCTTGTACATTCTCTGCTTCACTTTTCTGCATTTCATTTGCTACAGGTGGCAAATATACAGGCTCAGGCAAAACGTTCATTTCGTTATCATGATCAGATTGTGCAGAATCTGTCACAGCCACATCACAAGAGACTACATTGGGTTTAGTGTCATCTGGTTCAGTGACCGGAACTTTCGATAATTCCTCAGAGTCTGTTAAGTTAGTGTTGAGTTCAGGCTTGCTTTCCACACTTTCAGGTGTAATAGATTTCTCAAGTTTGTTCAACTCTTCTACTGGTTTAGTTGCCATTGCAGGAGACTTTGGCTTATCTAATAATGCAAATAAATAAAAAGAATATTTAATATGTTAGCAGCATGAAGTGGTTTAAAGATTAAACTGCTCAAACTGATCATAGCTTCATGTGGAAACGTTAATACATTGGATTACGAGATTGATATAGGTCAACAAACCACAAGTTATAACCTACTGGTGAAAACAATTATGGTAGCTTGATTTATTTAATCATCCACAGTAACTTAGGCAGTTCAATAATTCCCATTTGAGCCACTATTCAAGATTCTACAGCCAACCGGCCTGTACAGAAAAATATCAAATTTTAGCAATGCTGTAGCCATGACTACCTTCTAGCAAATCAATTGGTGGTATTAAATGTTCATGCAGAGTTTCAAAAATGTTTTGCCCCTCAGGTGGTCATAACTACAGAAAACCGCCAAAAGGATATTGTGCCAAGTCACTGACTGAGAAGATCTGTGACCCTTACAATTATAAAACAATATGACCAATTATTACTTCTTAGCCAAAGTAGGGTCAACTCAACTGCAGCTGTATTTGGTGAATTTGCATTTCAAATAACAATGTAAATGGCACTAAAACTTGAAAAATAAAAAAAAAAAAAAAAAAAGAGGTAAACTCTTTCCTACATTTTAAGATTTCTGTAGAAAAGTACCTAATTAGCAATAAAAGTAGCTCAGAAGACAAGCATAATCCAAGGTTGGTGGCATAAGCTTAGTGGGAGATCATAACTGACCACTTATTATTTCTTGAAAAGGTGATATTACCATGAGGACCCTAACATGCAAATGGCAGCCTGTAAGAAATTTGATTCTAAAATTAAGAATATACAATTTTTATGGAATAAGTATTGCTAAAAGAGACATTTTATCAGAGCTTTACATCTTACACTCATCAGGGCAATTTGCAGGAAATATCCACGTGAAGGGGAAACGTGTACTGCTTGAGAGGAGAATAATACGCAGTTGTCAAGTCAACTTTGACTGGTAGAGGCATCGCCAAGCAGTTAATGATGACTGACAGTTTATTGGTAAGCTTTAAGTTTGTAACATGGCAGGTTGACTGTGATTGAGCAAAGTAATACCCTGAGAAATGAACGAGAGAATGACGGCTACTTGTTAGCGGTGAACACCATTCATGTTGCTACTGCAGAGTAACAGTGTTAAATATCTGAATTTCAGTAGGAGTGCGACATCAAGAATATGGGCTTTACACCCCAGAGACTGGTGGATCATGTTAAATAACATATCCCTTCAGCTGTTCACAACAAGCAAGGTACTGACTGTATCCAACCCAGACCACACTTGTGAAATACACAACTGTGCAACATTCGATGTAGTTCTTCAATTGGACACCATTTGCTACTAATTTAATCAGTCAGTTTGCAGTGCAGCATACTTGCGCATACTGGAAGTTACATGAATATGCATAGCCTTGCCTTTTTTACAAATTTATTTGTGGGATGTGGGCATGGCTGGCTGGCCAACATTTATTGCCCATTCCTAGTTGCCCTCGAGAAGGTGGTCATGAGCTGCCTTTTTGAACCACCTCAATCCACCTGCTGTAGGTTGATCCACAATGCCATTAGGAAGGGAATTCCAGGATTGTGACCCAGCAGTGAGGGAACGGGGATATATTTTCAAGTCAGAGTGCTGAGTGACTTGGAGGGGACCTTGAAGGTGGTGGTGTTCTCATGTATCTGCTGTCTTTGACTTTCTAGATAGAAGCGGTCATTGGTTTGGAAGATGCTAAGGATCTCTGGTGAATTTCTGCAGTGCATCTTGTGTATTACACACACTGCTGCTACTGAGTGTCAGTAGTGGAAGGAATAGATGTTTGTGGATGTGGTGCCAGTCAATGGGCTGCTTTGTCCTGAATGGTGTCAAGCTTCTCAAGTGTTGTTGGAGCTGCACTCATCCAGGTAAGTCCAAAAACATTTGCTACAGACAGAAATACCAAGTACACACCATGCCCTTTCAACCTAACAAAACAGGTGACAGCCATTCTCTAACCCATTTCTCAGGGCAATATCCTTAACAATCACAGGCAATCTGCTACTTTACAATTTTATCAAAAAAAAACTTAACTGACAGTCATCATGCATTCTCCATGATAACACCTCAACCAGTCAACTTACCAACCAATCAGCACTCTTCTCTCATAGTATAAAAGTGTTGTTTTTCCTGGTGAATTGCCCTGTCAAGTGCAAGCCAAAAATCTTCGAAAAAACATGCCTTTCTTCAGCAATATTCAAGTTCTATGATCAAATGACTATCTCATGGAACTGGTAGACACAGCGTAAGGCTGCCTCAGCAGTGAAACTCTTGCCCTTCTGAGAAAACACAAAACAATCACTAGAATTACAAAGATCTAATGATTAAGTTGAAATTCATAAGTCAACTGGTATCTTATACGTTCGCATCTGCAAATGTCCAGCTGGGGTTAGCATGCAGCAAACTAAAAAGTGACCTTTAGCTAGTAACATTAGGGTGAAATGACCATTGATTCCCAAGGTTCACAAACAACATGGTGCAAACTATCAACTCCAAGAAATAAAGCTCTTTGACAGGTTTCAGTCCTCATTCCTCACATAAGAGATGGGTCAGGAAGTTTGGAGGGAAATTAGAGAAAGAGTTCATTAACACTTCAGCAAGAGAGCAGAGTGCTGCCATCAAAGCTGCTCTCAAATTATGGGGGCACACTACTCCTATTTCTTTAGCTAATATGTAATATCTAAACTGTTGATAAATAAAGTTAATAAATTGCCTTAATATAAAGTTTAAATCAGCTAGGAATATGGTTCCTTTCTTACTTGAAAAACAATGTTTGGTCATGTCAACAACACACCCACTTTGCCCCCTTTCCCCTTAGGTGGAATATGAACCCTGACCTCTGGTCCAGTGATGGGTGCATAATTACTGTGCCACAAACCCTTATGGCTTCTTATTTAGCTTTTAGTAATAATAGTTCCAAAAAACCTGCAAAAAGAAATTGCAAAATTACATTCAAAATAAAAACAAATTGCTGGAAAATCTCAGCAGATCTGACAGCAGCTGTGGAGAGAAATCAGAGTTAACATTTCGGGTCCAGTGACCCTTCTCCACCCATATCATAAATATACCACCTCTTTTAGTTACATGTTTATCACAATCTAACGGCATACTGATCACCTGCTTGAATTACCTGGTCGGATAATGACTGGCACTGGATGAGGATTTTCCCCGTTGGTCTGTACATTCCCACCTCCCTCCATACTTCCTATTGCAGACTGTTGAATGGAAAGGAACAACCGATTAGTACAGGGCCTCCATAATTTTTATTTTGAATGCACAAGTTATAGTAGCACCATAAATTATTGTCTTATGTTCAAATCTTTAGGGCTGCCTCATTTCATACAATAAACTAAACAGCGATTTATAAATCAGAATTATTCACAAGAAAAGACCAATAGTCTAAAACAGTGTTGTCCAAAATGAATTGTTTAATCACTACTGCTACATCTACAGTGACAATTTTAACAGGAAATCGCTTACATACAGTCACATCAAGACAGTTAAACAATTCCTTAACACCTATAATCAATCACTCGTGGAAGGATTCAACATGTGAAACATTCAGTTTCTCATCTGGTTTTATTCAACTAGAAACACACAGGGCAGATAATGTAAATGTAGTTTGGGTTTCCAAAACATCTCAATCAAAAATACACAGATTCATAAGTTGCCACAAGACTGGTGGATAATGAATTGGTCATGATAGGTCTAATGGTTGAACAATACTTTTTTTGGGGATGCTAATAATTGTGTTCTCAACAGTTGCCACGTGAAATACATACAATGAAATGCAAATCAGAACAATGCATCATTGTACTTCTAAACAGTTTAATGACAGCACTTCAATTATTTTGGAACAACTCACAGCATCAACCTGAATTTAGAACATCCAATACCAATCTTAACCTATGAATGTTACTGCTCAGCATACGGTGGCCTAACATTATCAGGTGGCGAGTTGATTAGACCTATCTCAGCTCACTAAATGTCAGTACCACCTCCAGTTTTGTATGCGTTCCGCATTCAGTTTTCTTTTCTAGTGGTGTGCCCCCACCAGGCGAGGTATTTGTAGCAGACAGAGGTGGCCAGATTTGGTTGTTTAACAGATGAATGAATGATTAAACAGTATCATAATGCTTCCTTTTGAATAAATAGCATTCGAAAATCATTTTCTTTATTCCTCCATGGGATGCAGCCATAACTGGCTAGGCCAGCACTTATTGCCCATCCCTATTTGTCCAGAGGACAGTTAAGAGTCAACCACATTCACGTGGATCTGGAGTCCCATGCAGACCAGGTAAGGATGGCAGATTTTTTTCCCTAAAGGGACATTCGTAAACCAGATGGGTTTCTACAACAATCGATAGTTCGTGCATGGTCAACATTAGGTTTTTATTCCAGATTTTACTGAATTCAACTGTCACCACCTGCCATGATGGAAGTTGAACCCAGGTCCCCACTGCATTACTGGTCCAGTGACACTACCACTACGCCACTGTAATTCCTAAAAACACATGCAGGATACAAATAATTTAAAATTATCAAGATGCCTAAATATGACAAGCTTCAAGAAACACAACAAAAATCAAACCATTATACACTAAAATTAGCTGGCTGGTTTTACTGTTAAGTCTGTTCATTGCTGTTCAAACTTGGCCCAATCTCTGCTGCTGGATCCTCTGCAATCTTTATTATCCATTGCGAAAACGCTGCTTGTTCATGGATGGTAGTGTTTGGTGTTTTTTAGGACTAGACAATGGATAATGACACCCTCCACTCCAAATAATTATAAAAACCACCATGGCACTGCTCCCCAAGACTAACAAAGTTCATAATTAACCAAAATAGATGAGCACAAGTAGAAAATCAGTAATTCTTGGTTTTATGAATACACATGGTGCCTGTAAGGCACATTCCTCATTATTATTTCCTGTCATCAATAATGCAAGAGGGGATGAAAAATTACCTCGATGAATTTCACTTAAATGACCTGCCAGTGTTTTCATCGATGTTCATGGACAATTCCTATAATTTTCCATATTCTGCAAAAAGGTACACTTCTGGTGAGAAGTGCATTCTCCTGGTAGGAAGTGTCATACATCACTGTGTAATAATTTTGAACTATAGGTCAAAAGGTCTTAGGAGCAGCTAGTACAATGCAGAATGTGAAACTGCTTTCCACTCATAGCAATTATGAATTTAAAAGTTAGCATTCTTTATTTACAACTTTTGAAAACAGCTACAATTTTGAAGTGCAGACTTCCTCAATTAACCTTTAACCTTGTCTTAAAGCTCACACATTATTCAAGATCTTTGATTATACTGATGCACGTGCAAACCCCAACAGCTTAGTACGAGATATTACATCAAAATGGAATAAGCAATGGAATGGTTCGAAGTCTTCTGGGAAGACAGTAGAAAATACTTAATCAAGTGCGGTCCATTTTCATTCTTCTTTTGCTAAGTTAGAGTTACAAAAGGCCTTGAGTTTTAGCACCAATATGAAGAGAATGTTTAGAAGTGATGAGATCTGGTGGAAGTGAAGGAATTAATTTGCCCTCAAGTTACCTGCATGCGTGACATTCACTAGAAGATGAAAGCCAAAGCCAAACAATTATATGCTATACTTATTCAAGGTTCACCGAAGTGCTGCAAGCATTGCCTGTAAATTCTTCATATCTTTATTCAGTTAGCCACAAAAGTAGCAAAGAGGCTTCTCCTCACAGTCTCTCTCTCAAAAGGAACTTGATAAACAAAGATGTCCAAATCCCACCAAAAACTTACCGTGTAACTTTTCATTTCTCAAATACAGAACTGTGCAATTTACTGCTGTCTTACAGGTCTTAAAATTACAGTCAGTTTAAAAGCAGTTGCATGTACACCTGGACTGGATAAACTTCAAAAAATGCACATATGGATCACAGCAGTGGAACTTTTAAATCCTGCATTATGAAATCTTTCTGTTCCGCTTCAAAAATGATCAGTTCCCGCAAATCCTCCATTATTTAACAGTCAAGATCTCTACAAGTCTTCTGCCATAAAATTACTATGAGCTAGCATTCAAGAACTGAAAATAGTTGATGAGAAGGCCAGTCAAAAATAGCATCTTGACCTGTGTGCTTTTCGGGGGCTGTCAGAAGGAAGGAAAAAGATAGATACACATTCCAATTGTCATCTTATCTACTCAAACAGAATAACTAACAAAATTGAAACTTGAAAATAGTACATGTTGCTTAGAATTTGCAACTGAAGTCACTGTGTTACATTGAGAGTGTCACCTAAGCAAAACTCAATTTGTAAGCAGCTTCAAAACCTATAATGGTGCAACGCCAAGATCTTGGCTCTACCTCATAACTGATCATGCAATTTGCAAACTTATATACAAATTGCAAGGATGACATTCGGCCAAAGTCTGTCTTGTCATTCAACAAGGTTATGGCAGAACTGATTATGACTTAAACTCAACATTCCCAGCTACCCCAATAATATTGAATACCCTTTTTAGTCAAGAATTAAGCCTTGCCTTAAGAGGATATGCTTTACATTTTTTTAAACCACTCATCTGGGCAGAAAAAAAGAGTTCCAAAGACTCATAACTGTCAGAAAAAAAATCCTCCCCATCTCCAAAAGTTGTAAATGGAAGACAACAGATTTTTAAACCATGTTCCTAATTGTAGCCTCTCCAAAAAAGGGAAACATCCTTTCAGCATGTACCCATCAAATTCATGCAGGATTGCATCTGTCAAATGAAATCACATTCTATGAAATTCCAAAATAGGACTAGCATGTCCTAGCTTTCCTCAGAAGATAATCTCCCTTGAGATTGGAGTTGTTTAACTACTAGTCAAGTTGAAAATGTAACTTTCATCTTGTCTATTCTTTTGACCATTGAATTCCAAGAGCAAAGTGCTAGATTTGGAAACCTAAAGCAATGCTATCAGCTATCAAGATTACTCACTAGTTAAAGGGAAGCTTCCACTGTACTTTCAGCAAAGAGTCAATCCTGGAGGAGTAAGTAACAAAACATACCCCAAGACTGCTGGAAACCAAATGCAATGAAAATCATACTTTGGAAATACAGTAGTTAGGACCTCACCAAGTAGTATACACACTGAGTTTAACAGAGCTGTTAAACTCAATCAGGCTGCTATAGAGCTACATTTGTTAAGTACCTTAGGAATGGACATGGAATCTTCCTATATTCAAGTTGAGTCATTAAGCGCTAGTCAATTTATTGACGTAATACCTGAATATGAAGGTATCAAGACTGTAGAAAATCAGAATCAAGCCACCCAAGGCAGAAGAGGCTTGACCATGGAGGTCTGTAATTAAGATAGTTAGACTTCTTTGGGATATTAGCTTATCATTACAGTTAAGACTCTTTTGTTAATTAGCCTACGACACCTACATACAAGTGTGTCTACACTGTGAAAGTACACTAGCCACTAAGCTTTTTGGCAGTTGAAGGCACTATGAATACAAGCTTATAATCATTTAAAAAAGACAAAAGCAAATGGCCTATGTGAACAGGATTCAAGTTGACTTGAACAGTTAAAAATCTAGGGACTTAATACCAACGAGAACACCTGGATGTTGAAATCCCTGATAGCCAGAGGAAGGATGAAATCAGAAACAAACCTCCACTCAGTTTAGATTTAAGTCAGAGTGAAACATTACAAATATCTCTCTTAATTCTTTCCTTAACCCAGTGTCAGGAGGTATCTCTTCATATACATTCAAATAACACAATTAATGTCCTCAATTTTCATACAGTTAACCACAATTGGTATAAAATTAACAGGTGCCACCTGGCATTGACAGGATACCAAGAATGGAAGCTAGCAAAGTACTGACTGAGAAAGCATCCACTTCAATACTTGTGCAACAGAAGCAAAACAATGCACATGACCATAGTTCGTACTTTAGAAAGAGGAACTAGAAGCAAAAGCAGAGAAGCTCAATTTTCATCAAATGATTTCTGGTTTAGAAAACTGCATTTTAGAAAGTAAGCATTAGATGATATCACTGATGTTGTAAATGGCAGCAAAGAATTATGGCCAGCTGGAAATGGTAAAAGTAAAGCAACAGCTCATGGGAAGGGCTCTCCTTTTAAACAACGTGGGAGATCAGTTTTCAAATTTCAAGAAACATATCCACTGTTGTTGCTCATGGTCTATGCTCGCAGTTTAATGGCATTATAAAAATCCAAAGGGACAGGCCTACCAAACAATGCAAATGAAGCAAAGTCAAGAGCAATTTCAAAAAGCAAAGCATTTTATGAAGATGCAGCCAGCTATTAAACAGAGAAGAGATCATATATCAGAATCCATTTCAAAATGTAAAGATAATTCTTTGATTCATAGTCCGAGGGTTTCCTATATCAAAGGCAATGAAAGCACAATAGTATGTAGAATACCGAATGGTACAGAGAACATCAGCTATGTTTTCAGTAGGCTTTTAATGCTTCCATTATCTATAGACTAAAAAGTAAAGTAAGGTCAGAACAGTAGAAACAAATCATTCCCAGTTTCTGCAATTAGGGCAGCAAGAGCAATGACCCAGCAAATTACTTGCCTGTGGCGGTGTCGGTGTAGAGCCCGATCTTCCTCCAGACATAATCTCTTCTGTGATGTCTTTTCCACCCTGGTTTGGATCCCTTATCCGGATCTAACAAGCAAAATATCCACAAAATAGATAGGTCAAACAAGCAACTTCCTTCCTTCAAAATAGTTCTCTTCATTATTTGGGTATGGCTCATCTGCACACATGGACACCATCAAATAAGAGAATTGAGAATCAGTTTGAAAGAATTACTTCACAGCGTTTGATCTTCCCACAATATATCTGGGTCTAGTTTGGCCCTCCTTCAATGCTCTGACATAGAAAAAAGGCCAATGGAAAGAACCAAAAAGAAGAGACTGTTTAACCATTTCCAAGATGGAAGTGAAACAGAGGAAGAAATTAGGGTCTTTCCATACGTGTAGCATGAACTTCAAAACTTGAAAACCATATTATAAGAACTTATTTCTTCCTTTATTTCTATCCAATCAACACACAAAATGCATAACACACAGTATAAAATAGGTACAAGAAATAGGTGAGAACAATTTAGAAAACAAGACACTAAGCTTGGGCCAAGCAGATGTTCACACACACAACACAATGAATATCCATTCTGTTATAATTTATTATTACAGCTCCTACAAATATTCAATTAAGTGGTCCTTTGAAACGGGCACTGCAAATACTCTCACTTGTGGGCTTCAGACTCAAAAATCATGCAATAATCTACTGTAGGCACATTTGTTTTCATATTTCAAAATTTTCATGCACAAGCCATTATTTTCAGCACACACCAAAACCTTAATGTCATTTATTACAGTCATTTACAAAGTGGCTCAAAAAATGCCTCAGCTAGCAAACCCCTGATAAACTTCTGTCTACATTCCAGTTTCTCCCACATTCCAGTTTCTCTGAAGATTTTCGCTTTTATTACTTTTTAAAATGGGAATTTCTTGTATGAAAACGATCAGACCATCTACCATCTGGATTGTCACATGATAAAACAATTGCTGCTTCCACCTCGTCATAACAATTTATATCTACTTACAACAGATCCAAATATAAGGTGAGGAAAAAACTCATGGTGGAAAACTTTAGAAACCAAATAACTCAAGTCACCTGTTGTTCTCAATCAATGCTAAATTTGCTGTGCGTCATGTCCCATTACTCAGATCCAAAGTATCCAATTTGCATAGTTGCCCTAGCCTATCCCATCCTGGCAGAGTGCAACTTCTACACAAATATGTAATTTCTTGGACAAGGCAACATTTAGGGGTCAACTTATAGACAAAAACTGAGAATATAATATCTAAAGGCTATAAGATTCCAATAACTGTCAAATGCTCGAGAAAGAGAGAACCAGATTCAAAAGTAACACTGTATAGAAAGAGACGGCAGCAATTTATTTGCTCATTTAATAGTACTGTGAAAACAACTTGCCGGTCTAAATATTTATATTAACTGCTCAGCAAAACTTAATGACGAAAAAGTGTTTTAAAATCAGCCAGTCTATTGCTTAAGTTAATACAACTCCACTACAACTAAATGAGTGTTCTAGCCCTTTGAGGAATTTAACATTAAAAAATACATAGCTGAAGCAGTTTTACTTTCAGCTAACAGCAAGTATGCATGTAAACCTAAAAATAAATTCATGTTGGTGCATTAGGATATGGTAGAACAACTATCAAATGTTATAGCAGCTGATAGCTGACACTCAGTTTTAGGAATCCTGAAGTGAAGTGTACAAGAATACATAAAATACATATGCTCAAACATTGCTGTAAATGCAGAGGACTGAGTCTGTGCAAACTCTTCACTTCCCTTATATGAAGGCATGAAAATCAGTCAACACTAGCCGAGTTCAGAGGCTACACCATAATGTCATTTTTTTTAAATTATGTAATGTCACCCAACGCTTCCACCCAACACAAGTTACCATGCAATTTCTTGGAAGACACAAAACAAGAGAAATCCCTTGGTCTATTCAGGAAGAGCAGGAGCTCTTGTGGTACAGTCCCTACCTTTGAGCCACAAGGCCCCAGGGTACAAGATCAACCTGCTCAAAATAGATGAAATAAAATAAAATATCTGAACAAGCTGATTAGAAAAACTCTTTTCAGGGGAACGTATTATGCAAAGTATCAAGATGTTAATTTTGCCCCACAAAGATGGGCGAGCAAACACTTAATCCTTAAACATATTTAAGGCAATGAATGATCTCATCTAAATTGAGACTAGGTTCTGGATTTGAATACAAATGCAAGTATTATCCATAGCCCAACACGAAGATTTAATATTTTATGTTAGCAAAGACAAAAACTTGAAATATCTATGCATTCACAATCAATGCCAGTATTTGAGAGATCCATTATTAATACCAGTTCAAAGTACCACTACTCTGGCACATTATACCAATATAACTACAATTTGCTATTGGAAAATGGACTACAGCAGATATATTTTGAAGCACTGAATTTGAGCATAAGCATGGCATCAAACAACTCAGTTAAGATGAAACCACTTCGATGTATTCGCCTTCAGGTAAATTTTCTTGTTCATTTTTCACTTCTCAGTAATTATTATTAACACTGCATGTTTATTACTACATGCAAGACAGTTTAGATATAGATTTTAGTATTTGTTGTGCTACTAAATCAAGAAAATTAGGAGATGCTCGAGAAATTTGGTAATTGTTGATAACGCTTTTAAGATAGTACACACTTGTATGAGTACTCTTTTACATGTCTCTGTATGATGGAACTCAATGGTAAATTTTTTTTAAAAACTATGAACCCAATTTTAGGATAATTTTCCTCTATTCATCCTGGCCTTCTCTTCATGCAACAAGAACCTACTGCAACTGTTTCATACCGGAAGATGTTGAAAATTCTATAAGACTCATTGGTGAGAAAATGGAAGCAAATGATCAGATAAAAAAGTGAGGGGGGCAGGAGATCCAAAGTCAGATATGAAAGATTTGATTCAAGCTTACAGTATGTATAAAGGTTGGCTAGCAGCAGTTACACATAACCACACAGATGACGATCTTTTAGTGGTAACAGTCTTGTAGTACCTAATTCTGCCTGGTGTTGTACATATCCTTTTAAACAAGGTGCTCAGGAAAAGTAAAGGAGAAGTAGGAGTATTGTTTAAAGAGAATATTACAGTGCTGGAGCAATGGATGCCCTGGGAGTTAGAACAGAATCTATTTGAATAGATCAAAGAAACAATCGAGATGCCTTGACACAGAGTTGAATACGTCAAACTATTGGGAAATTAAAGGAACAAAACAAGCGGGGAAACTACAAATCTGCAACAATATAGTACTGAGAATGGGAGACTTAACTTGGATAGTAATTGCATAAAAGAGCAGAGAGGAAGAGGAAGAGGATGTTCTCATCATTACATTTCCAGCTCAAAAAAAAGGTAATATTGCCAGATCTAATTCTGGGGAATGAAGCAGGTCAAGTAAATTAAATGTAGACAGGGAAATGTTCAGGATTCAACAGCTAGTATCTTGCACCAGAACTGTAAAAAGGACAAGGAGCTATGAAGAATAAAAAAGCGCTTAATTGAAGGGCTGATTTCAACAAGTTGAAAATGAGCCTGCCACAGACAAGTTGGAATAAACGACGAAAAGGCAAAACCATAACAGAATAATAGGCTGCCTTTAAAGAATAGATAGATAACTGGGTGCAGTTAAGGTAGACCACCACAAGCATAAGAAATCAAAACCAGAGCACCTTCAATGATGAAAGAGAGTTAACAGCAGTGCCAGCATAGCAAACTTTGTTTTAACTGGCACCCTTGATAAAGTGTCAAAAATTATATTCCTCAAATGCCACCATGTCCAAGCATTTATGACATAAAAGAAAGTATAGCAGTGACGTGTATAGCCCCTGCATTACATTTCTATTACTTGTGTGCTTTTAATTGATAGAGGTGCATGACATTTTTAAATGATTTGAGGAAATTTGATGTCTCAAAGCATCGCTTGGTCAGGGTTTACTGCGATTATGCATACCTTTTAATTATCTGGAATAACTGATCAACTGACAAACTTAGTCCCATGGGTGCCAGTTGACAAAATGTCTGTATTTTATATCTTTGTATCTGCGGCATCTGCGATATTCCACCTACCGAAGCAATCTGTCACATGCAAATACAAGCGAGAACTAAGCTCAATATTGAAGTTTCAGAGGTTCAATAACAAAGTATATTGGAAAATAAAGTGAAAACATGCAAAAGGACTGGCATTTAGCATGAAAGGGAAGACAAAACTCTGACAGGTATAGGCATAGTAAAAGGCAATAAGAGATGGGGTTGAATAAGGACCCAAAAAAAGCATGGAGAGAGAGAGGGTATAGTTGAGGTCCTATACGTATTCTTGGGGTCCTATACGTATTCTTGGATTCTGTTTTTACCATGGGAAAAGATAGCTCTGAAATCATGAAGTAAAAAGGTCATTAAGATGCTCGATGAGTTAAAGACTGATAAAGCAAGGGTACTGGGAAGAGTGACTATATTATATTTGCTCTGACACCAGGACCAGACAGGACTTTTGACCATACAGACGAAATTAAGGGTGGATATTTTGAAACTGATAAGCTTCAATGCTCTTTAGATATAAAAGGTGCTGCCAGCAGACTTGAGAATTGCAATATCATACAAAAAGTGTTGCAAGAATAAAGCCAGCAAGCAGGAGAGTCAAGTATTATTCAGCTAACAGATGCTTAGCTATCCAATCGTCATGTACTTAAGTTCTCTCACTCATTAGCATTCTCAGGAAACAGATCCAATCTTTGCATACAGAAGCAGCCATGGGCCATAACAATATCCTAGCTGAGGTATGAACTCTCAAGCTCCTGCTCTCTGTGCCTTTGTCTAAGCTATGCTACAACTACAATACTGAACAATTTAGAAAATTATCCAGCTAGGTCCTGCGTCAATCTACTGCCAATCAGCAGCAAAGTGATGGAAGGTGCAAATGATGTTATCAAATATCTTTCTCACTGGTAGTCTGTTCGGGTTCCATCAAAACTACTCAACACCAGAAATCATCTATAGCCTTGGTGAAACATAACCAAGGCCTGAATTCTACAAGCACACAGAGTGACTGCCTGAAATTCAAAATAGTACATGACCTGCCATAGCATCAGGCAAGACTAAAATCAACCAGAATCAGGAAAAATTCTGGACTGGCTGGCCAGTATGAAGATGGTGGCTGCAGTTGTTGGAGGTCATGCATCTCAGTCCAGGGAGATCACGGCAGGAGGTCCTTGGAGCTGTACTTAGGCCCAGCCACCTTCAGTTATTTCATCAATTACTTTTCCTGCAGTTCAAGAAGTGGAGATGTTCACTGACTGCACAGTGATATAGAAGCAATCCACGTGGCACAGCACTTGGATATTTAACCCTCTCACCATTAAATTTAACAGCTTTGTCATTTCTGACTTACCCATCATCCACATCCTGGAAATCACTGACCACAAACTCAGATGGATTAGCCATATAAAAAACAGTGCCTACACCAGGTCAGAAGCTGGGAATTGTGCTATAAGTAACTCTATGACTAAGTGAGACAGTCATAGTCATAGAACTTTACAGCATGGAAACAGACCCTTCAGTCCAACTTGTCCACATCAAACAGATACCCTAAATTAATCTAATCTCATTTGCCAGCATTTGGCCCACATCCCTCTAAACCCTTCCTATTCACATATCCATCCAGATGCCTTTTAAATGTTGTAATTGTACCAGCCTCCTCCACTTCCTCTGGCAGCTCATTCCATACACGCACTATCCTCTGCGTGAACAAGTTGCCCCTCAGGGCCCTTTTAAATCTTTCCCCTCTCACCTTAAACATACGCCCTCTAGTTTTGGACTCCCCCACTCCAGAGACAAGACCTTGGTTATCCAGCCTATCCATCCCCCTCAAGATTTTAACAAGCTTCCATAAGGTCACCCCTCAGCCTCCAACACTCTACAGAAAATAGCCCCACGTCTATTCAGGCTCTCCCTACAGCTCAAACCTTCCAACCCTGGCAACTTCCTTGTAAATCTTTTCTGAATCCTTTCAAGTTTCACAACATCCTGAGACACCAGAATTGCACGCAGTATTCCAAAAGTGGCCTAACCAATGTCCTGTACAGCCGCAACATGACCTCCCAACTCCTGTACTCAATGCACTGACCAATAAAGGCAAGCATACCAAACGCCTTCTTCACTATCCTATCTACCTGCGACTCCACTTTCAAAGGAACAATGGACCTTCGTTCCAAGGTCTCTTTGTTCAGCAACACTCCCCAGGACCTTAGCATTAAGCTCACAAGTCCTGCCCGGATTTGCCTTTCTAAAATGCAACACCTCACATTAATCCAAATTAAACTCCATCTGCCACTCCTCCACCCATCAGCCAATCTGATCAAGGTCCAGGTGAACTCTAGGCAACCTTCTTTGCTGTTCACTACACCTCAAAATTTGTCTCAACTGCAAACTTACTAACCATACCTGCTATGTTCACATCCAAATCATTTATATGAATGACAAAAAGCAGTGGACTTAGCACCAATCTTTGTTGCACACTGCTGGTCACAGACTTCCAGTCTGAAAAGCAACCCTGTCTCCTAACTTTGAGCCAGCTCTGTATCCAAATGGCTAGTTCTCCCTGTATTCCATGTGATCTAACCTTGTTAGCCAATTTACCGCGTGGAACCTTGTTGAACACCTTACTGGCATAATACAGATCATGTCCATCACTCTCTTTCATCAATCCCCTAAAACCTGCTCACAATCTAAGTCAGTTTGATTAAGTACTCTCCTCTTGCCTGGATTATTGCATCTCCAACACTCAAGATTCATCACAGACAATCCAAGACAAAGTGGTCCATTTGAACAGCACATCCATTCAACATCAACATTCACTCCTCCCACCATAAACTATGACAAGGTGTATTATCTATAAGCTACATGCCAAGACTCATCATGATTCCCTTGCCAGTAGTTTCTAAATGCATGTCCTGTTCCATCAAGGGCGATGGCAGCTGATTTACAGGAACGTCATCCCCTGCAAGACTCTACCTTGAAACTAAATTGCACTGCACATCCCCGCCCTAATCACTACTTTGGCTCCTTGTGCATGAAGTGTAACAACTTAAGGTGCCTTCTCAGGGGCAAAGAAGTGATGAAAAACTTACCAAGTCTCAATTCCATTGAGAATCCACAAAAGCAATGCAAAAGACATTGATACAGTAGTATATTTGTGTTACTAGTCAATAGCCTTGACTGCCAACAGAAGAAAAACAAGCACAAAATTACAAGTGCAAAGGCCTTCTTAAGAAAACAGACTCAATGGTTTTCAAGGTCTGGGGTGATAATGCCTTCAAAAAATGGATAGAGAACAGTATATCGCTATTTACGTGCTGAATCCATTGGATTTTGTAACTGATTAAGTTATTACTGCTTCTACAAATATTCCAGCACAGTAGTCAGTAAATCAAGTAGAAAAAGATCAGAACCATCTCTAAAGTTCACTTTAAACACATACATTTAAAACCTCCGTTGGACAAATAACTGCAATTCAAGGATAAGTGGAGAGCTGCACTGTGATCAGAACAGATTTCACTTTAATGGAACGAGCATGCAAGTATTAACAGTATTCAGGCAGTCATATTCTCCACTTAACTGCAAATGTAATCGTGTACCACAGTGCAAGTAGACATGATGACATGACTCAAATTCATGTAAGTATTTAAAAAAAGGTAAAAAATTTACTACATTTTTGCCTACTGGTGGTGGCATGTTAGAGTGCAAACTTCAATTAAGCAAAAGAATATAGACCAGAAAAACTTTGTTTATACAAGGGGTTTAATGGGATTTACCACCACTGAAAGAGAGTCAATCTTTACATTCACAGACAAATACAGCAAACTTTGTTTTAACAAGCACCTTATAAAACAGCATTTGCAATAAACAGATAAAAATTATATCCCTCAAATTCCACAAGCTTACGTACTATCGCGATTTTCCACAATGTCCGAGTAGTCAGTTAAGCATACGAGTGAGAAGGCCCTGTGCCAGTAATTTTTAGAGCAAAGTTGCATTATTATCCAAGTGATTGATGTTTGATTGAGTTTTCCATTGATTATGTGGACCTCATGACCAACTGGAAAACACTTGGCCCCAAAGGTTCCGGTTAATAAAAACCTTGCTATACTTAATATTCATGGCTAATGTCAAAGGATAGAGAAATGGGACCAGTTTGGAGTTCACTACTAGCACATGTATGGCTAGCTGAAAGTCTCCGGTGCAAAAACAGCTCCCGCTTCAAGTAGCGTTATGTAACTTACCTTATGAGTACAGAAGGTTTGGCTAAGTGGAAATACAACCGAATCAAAATAATGATTTCAAGTCCCAGTAAAAGGAATTGTGCACATAATCTAAGCTTATACTTCAGTGCAATACTGTGCAGTAACAAGGGAGTGAGTGTTTCATTAGCAGGAGTGTCATTATTTGAACAAGATGTTAGGTTGCAGTGTTGCCTCAATTTAGGTAGTGGTATGAGATTTCATCTCACTAGCTTACAGATAGCAGAGGTCAGCAACAATCCCTCAACCAGATCTAGAAAGCATATTAACTTAGAATTTACCAGAAAATTATGAGTTATATATGGATGCCACTATTAATCCATTTCAAAAGGCAAGTTATAACAAGGAAGGGAAATGCTCAAAGTTGCAAATTATCAATTTGCTACTGCTGCACATTTAACTGTGAAAAAGAACAACTCAACCATGACTCAAGAAGTTGCTGCATTTTCACTATCAAATTAAACGTGCTGCAGAAAGTTACGACTGACTTTTTTTTAAAAATAATGCAAGGAACTCTACAAGTCATAGATTTATATTCTGGAAATGTTCCACAACTTCTCCAGGCATGAAAAGGGAATAAACAAACAGTTTGCACATTCTTCCCGTGCGTTTCCTCTGGGTGTGCAGTTTCCTCCCATAGTCCAAAGATGAGCAGGCTAGTTGGATTAGCCAAAGGAAATCCAGGGTTACAAGGATAGGGTTGGTCCGAGTGGGGTGCTCTTCGGAGGATCAATGTGGATTGGATGGGCCAAATGGTTTGCTTCCACGTTGTACAGATTCTACGATTCTGTGATGACACTAATTAGATCTAAAGAATTGGTGAAGAATAAACCAACTTCCATGAGATGCCCTCCTCCAGTATATTCTGGACCATTAACTGGCTAGTTGAGGAACTATTTGTTAAAAAGAAACAACTGACCACCATCTTTGCCTGCCTAACAGTGACGGAATTTGCAAAGAACTGAAACATTATCAGAGGAAGCAGGGCTACTAGAAGGCCAATTGTTTATCTTAAAACAGTATAAAAAGATAAGCAAAAAGCACTTTTGTTGATACAAATCTAAAGTGCCTTAAATGATTGGTTGAAGCTCTGGAGATCTTAAAATTCCTTTTATTCAAAAGGTACATTAACAATACTGGCATCAAAAAAAATGAGCATTGTACATTATTTTATAAGGCAACAAATGATGCCACTGTTTGACATGTTAGCACAAAAAATGGCAATTTAGAAGAAAATGTACAAATGATGATCAGTTTCACTGAAAACATCTAACTAACAATGATCTAAGTTTGCCCAACACCAGTACATCTGGATTTTATTCATGGCTAGGTCCTTTAACAACACACCAAAAAAATGGCAATTTAATAGCACACCTACCTGCTTACGTTCTCTTTTAGGTGGCATTTGCGGCTGCGCAGGATTTATCATAACAGTGGGAGGTGCCACTGGTGCAGAATACTGTTGCACACCCTGTGTTGCTGGGTAATAGGTTCCTGGAAAAACAATATTTCAGGGTACATTATCCATCAGTTTGCAAGATTAACCTCTGATGGTTACTAAAAACTATCCACAGTGCTTCATTACAAAAAAAAATCTTTTAACTCATCATAGATAATTAAATGAAAGCTATACAAATCTTCTTTGCTCCTCTTACAGTTTACATTACGTGAGATTTAGAAAAAAATCTCACTGCATTGTCTCAATGTTTAAAAAATTAACACACTCCCTTCTTCATCTCCTTCTAAAATAAGTAAAATCCAATCTCCATCCAGAAGGCAAAAAGCTTTCTTTCTTTCTTTGAACACACATGCTCGTCTCACCCAAGGCTTTTATTGCTATTATTATTCTGTTAATACTGGGCACCCTCCAGCATCTTGTCTAAAATAGCAATTGATCACATGCGTTAGCATGAGCGGGACTATCAATGACAAATTATTCTGCAAATTACTTAACACAGGAATGCTACCAATAGTAGCGAAAGAGGTAAATGGTGATCAGAAGAGAGAAAACACAGCCACTTTCACTTCCTAACTCAGGATACCAAGTCTTGTAGTACATCTACTTATCAGCTAACCCAGCATAAACTAGGGATGGACTTCAAACCATCATCATTTGTTCGACTCATACTTGGCCAATAGAATAATTGAACCATCCTAAGGGTACACTCTTGAATCTTTTGTTTTGCATTTTTTTTTTTTTTTAACACACTGATGGCCTAATTTTGATCTATTATAACATCACACATTGTATGGATGGAGTTCACAGTCCTCCAAGTGATTAGCATTTTTAAAACAGGTTTTTTAAAAAAAAAATTCAATATTATACAGTACAGTAAAATACAGTTCCACATGCTTAGGAACTAGCCAATCTTAATTCTCTGCACATTGTCCATGTGAAGTGCAATTATCCACATCAAGATATTATTCTAGATCCATTTCTTATGTGAAATTGAAAGATTTCAGAAGCTTTTTTTTTAAAATTTAAAGTTCGAAAGCCCAGTGCTGCGAATAGATACACACACGAAGTCTAAATCTTAAGACAAGGTTACCTAAAGAAATCAAAGTCCAATTCAAATAGGTGGATAGCTCTTCCATCAAAATACTTCAGAAAACACCAAATTTTTACCTCTAGGTTAAAGGAAATTACAAAGCTACTCTTGAAGTCAAATAAAATTCTATTTCCATGTTTTAAATTTGGAAAGTAATTTGAAATACACAATCTTCAAATGTCTGTACTTATTTTGGACATCATATAGCACAAATTTTGAAGCAAAAATCAGACTTTAAAATTTTCATAAGTAAATTTAAAATCCAGTCACAGACATCAAGTTTTCCCAACTAAATTGAAACACAGAGCCAGCAAAAATTTCCAACAGGAAATCACTGAAGCACAAAAAAATTTAGAAGTAAACAAAGGTAGTTTGTGCCTCATAAAACCCTATATAACCACTGAAATTTCATTACAAATCAGCCATAATCAAGTAAAAAATATTACTGGCACTCGCAAGCTACCTTTAAAGAAATATTAACAAGTAAATATTTCAGATGAAAATCTCCTGATTGCAAACAAGAAATATTAAATGTGTACAAATACAAAGATAGCATTTGAATGAAAATTCCAAACAGTACTGCAAGATGTTTAACATTAACATAAATTCAACAATTCATTAACCTACCTTGCATAAAATGTACAGCTCAATTACTTTCCCTTCCACTTAACTTTTGTTTTTAAAACTGTCTAGCGGCTGTGGAAACATGGAGATCTTGTACTCAGATGACTGCAATGTTGACTCCAAAGAGCACAGGCTATATATAGATACATCAACAGCATGAACAGTCAAGTAGTTCAACGGAAGACCCATTTCAGACCAATTAATTTAGCATCAATATTTGCTGAGAAAAGTATTCATCCTTCAAATTAAGTCAAGCAGGTACAATTCGATTCAGTAATTTTCTTCAAATTAAATGTAGAAGATACGTGTGTCAAGTCAAAATCACCTCAAAAAAGGTCCTATTAAAATTTAACTGCAATCACCAGCAGTGCACTAATCAAACAAAAGCAGACACAATAGGCAAAAAATAGTCAACATGACGTACACAACATCTACCTCATTAAACTCAAAGCACCTTTTTTCAATAGAATTTTACTAAAAGCTATTATTTACAAATCCAACACACTAACAAATACACTCCAAACTAAGAAAACTGTCAGCCTAAGGACATACTTCACGACATAAACAAGTGATGAAATTTCATGAATTAACAAAAGGCTCAAGGAAATGTTTCCAAGTTTAAGGTGATTCAGAAAACAAAGGAGTTGGTTAAAAAGTGACTTTACAATCTTCATCTGAAAGACCCCAAATTTCAGCCAATTTTACAGACAAAGGAATAAGGGTAAACATTAACAAATTGAATTGAAAAAAGGTCAACTATTGAGATGTGCAAATGTTTGAAAACGAATTTATTTTCAGGTGTGTACAACTTACATTTACAAAACAGATTTCAATAATTTTAAGTCAATTCTTGCAGAGGCCATCAGAACACCCTTTGAGATTGCTAAATTATGTGTCAAAAGTTTTGCTACGTTGCCAAATGATAAATTGTTTTATTCAAAAAGCCACCATCATCGGTGCGAACAATTTCCTGCTTTTACCACTCTTAAATGGAGAAAGAAAATGCTAACATCCTTCCTCATAGGGATATATTTTGCATCCATAAAACAACAAAAAGCATTTCACACATTCAAACAAAGCTAGCATCTTAGTACACAAACATTACAGTCCAACAGCAAACAACAGAATATTCTTAAAAAAAACTTTAAACAGATATTGTCTGGAATAGCAATTTCTACCCAACACAGCTAAAATTTGACTGGATCGTGGCTAATCCAATTGTTGCTTCAACTCCACTTTCCTGCCTATCCCTTTGGTTCCAACAGTCAATAATCTATCAAACTCTGTTTTATAAATATTCAAGGACCTGCCTCAAATGTTCTCTGGGAATTCCAGAGAATCATGATACTCAAAGAACTTTTCCTGATTCAAATTTTAAATGGGAGACATTTTTAAACTGTCCCCTCTAATCCTAGTCTCTGCAAGAACGGGAAACATGCTTTCAGCATCCAGCATCTTATGGTTCAATAAGATTACCTCATTCTTCTAAATGCAAATAGATACAGACCCAGTCTGTCCAACCTTTCCTCATAAAACCCGAGTTTGGGAGATTTTGGGGTTCAGGCAAGTCAATCTTCTCTGAATTATTTCCAAACTAACTGTCCTTCCTTAAATACTGAATGTAAAAGTGGACACCACTACTCCAGATTTGGAATCAACACTCTGTACAGCACAGTAAAACTTTACTACTCTTATATTCCATTTCCCTTTCAATAACTAGCACATTCCAGTCACCTTCTAATCACTGCATGCTAACCATGAGATTCACGTATCAGCACAAGTAGATACATCTCTGCTATCAAATCCTGCAATCTCTCCCCATTTAAATAGTACGTAGCTTTTTGATATTTCCTGCCAAAATGGATAGGATCCACCTTGTACTCCATCTGCCAAATTTTTGCCCACATACGTTGCCTGTCCATCTCTATCTCTCTGAAGACCCTCTACCTCCTCTTGACAACTTACTTTCCTACTAACCTTGGTGCCACCTCATCCAAATTATTGATGTGAATTGTCAATAGTGGAGGCCTTTGGCAATCCACTAATTACAGCTTCCCAAGTTAAAACGATTCTTATCGCTAATCAATCCTTTATCAATGCTAATATATTAGCCTCAGCATCTTATGCAGCTACTTTTGATGTGGCACCTTATCAAATACCTTTTGGAAGCACAAGTACATCACATGACCAGGTTCAATATTTCCACATGATTGTCAAATAACTCCAACGGAATAAACAATTCTTGTTTCACAAAGAAATGCAGGTGGCTGCCTGATCACATTGTGCTTTCTAGGTGCCCCCTTATTATCTCTTTAACAATGCTTTCTATCTCCAAGTTCTGAGGAAGGGTCACTGCACCTGAAATGTTAATTTTGCTTTCTGGCAGACCTGCAGAGTTTTCCCAGCAATTTCTGTTCATTTCTGATTTCCAGCATCCCCAGTTTTTTTTGAGTAGTGTTATATTTTCTCGTTTCCAACCTGCCAGACATTTCCAGAATCTGAAGAATTCTGGGAAGATGATAACTGTTGCATTCCATTCCTAGGGAACTATTCCCTCCATAAAACAATCACTCTTCAGAGATCCCAACAATCAATTTCCAAAGGCAGCTTTCCTAGAAAGTACAGGAAGTGCAACAGCTTTTACGTAATCTCTTACCATCCAAGGCCCTAGTGAAAGAGATTTTTTTGTATTTTCAATTCTGCATTCTATATTTACTGTTCACAATATAGTCTCCTCTTTATTACAGCAGACCAAATGCAACAATCAGTACCCACTTTATAGAATCTCTATCCCATTTTGTTTAAAGTTTCTTTCCTGGTTTGGTTTTCACTTTTTTTTTTACTTCATATTCAAAAAGCAGCTATCTTGCCATTCAGACCTTCTCTAAATATTCATACTTTTATTTAATTCATTAGCATATCTTTTAGCCTTCCACCAGAAAACCTTTGCTCATTCAATTTTGTCTGTTCATTTCAATTGCACGAAACCCACTACTTTCTAACATTTTTTCCATTCTAATAAAAAGTCTTAGCCAAAACAGGAATTGCTTTCTGCTCTTCACTGATATACTAAATATTTTCAGCATTTTGTTTTTATTTCAGATCGTTTCCTTTCACCCTTCTTTCTAATATTGGGTTTTTGTTTTACGAAGGCAGACAATGGGCAGTCACTCAACTGCACATTTGTGTTGTTTGAACATCCACAGAGGTTGCTAAAGGGCTCTGAATTTTGCTAATGCTCAACCCAACTTGATTTTGTCCAATTTCATTGGAACTTTTTTTGCCACATTTGCTAGATAGAAATCAGAACCAAGCATCATGTCGTTCCCTCGCCCTGGGACTAACCCAAAGACGCACCACTACTGCTACCAACTGATCATGAGAATGAAGGCAGATGCCAGACTCATAATACACAGGTCCATTAACCAAGACTTTTTCCAAAGATGCCATTAAGCTACAAGTACCAACATCCAAAACTAATCAGTTTTTCTTCTCAGCCTATGCATCATGACAAGCTTCTGCTCAACTAACAAAACAAGTTATGAGATGGCAAATCAAAATCACTATACTTCATATAAAAAGCAAGGTGAAGAGAAGTAATCCATCCCCATCTCCCTCATTGTCTTCTATAAAGAAAATCATTCAGGCAGACAATCAACCATCTGCTTCTAGGACGTGCCTACCAAAAACTAATAAAGGTTTTTGAATAGTAAAAGCTTAAAAAAGCCTTCCAACATTCAGGTCTACAAACTGCAGCTCTGAAGCAAACAAAAACTGTAATTTACCAAACTAATTGTTTCCATTTCATAAGACCAATAATCTTAAACAATGATCAATTATTTCCAGAACTCCATGAGCAACTAGCTAATAGTCATGTTATCATTTCAATACAATGCTGCATGGCCTTCTTAGCCAGCAGAATGATATAATTTGCAAGACTTGCAATTTCCATTAATTTGTAAGCTGTGTATATATGTATATGTCTCAAAACTTCTGCTTGGCCAATGATTTAATAACTAAGAGCAAATGACTTCAAGAGTATAAGCTATTATATAATCAATGACCTTCAAAGCATCACATTATTCAAAATGCCATCTGGTAACCAAGTTTCAAATAAAAATAGATAAGTTTTATTTTACATACCATAGTTTGTGTAGCTATGACTGCAGTTTACTACCACTAGAATTATTTTTCATTAACTTGCATGTTTGCTTCTCCAACCTATTCAAGAGTTATTCGTGACGCATAACACAAAAGCTGATTTTTCCCCTTTTGTATGTGCACTATGCCCCATTCCTTTCAAAGAGTTTACAATGCAGACCAAGGGTTTAATCACTCAAATCCAGCTGATTTTAAAAAGGTTCCAATACCAGTGTCACTGTTCACTACAGTGGAGATGAGCAAAGTCATGCTTCATGGGCATGACAGGGGCATGGGATCAGAACATTAGTATGTTCTTGAAAATAAGCCACAAGGAAGGTCTATTCTGATGTGATCATCAAGGTTCCAAAATAAAACAAAACTATAAGACCACAGACAGACAATCCCAAGGAAATAAACAAAATGGAAGGGAAGTGAGCCAAGGTGGGCAGTTGAGAACATGACAAAACAAAAAGAGGGGAGGGAGTCACAAGACTCCCATACTAAGCGAATATACATTAGACTGAACAACATTATGACCAGACTTCCATTGTACATGATACCCTCATTTGGCAACATCAGCAATCTAAAGGGACTTAACATACTGAAAAGTTTCTAAACCAATTTTTATTGCTATTGCATCTAAAAAATACACACAAATTTCAATGTCAGTTAAACCAGTATAAAGCAAAATGTCCTCATCTGAAGGTTTTCCTTCCAGTTGCACATTTCTATTCATCACCTACATTCTTAGCTGTTTCAAGAACTGCAAAACTGTTTGAACAGGCAAAATTCACTGCAAAATTTCAGTCACAATGGTTTGGTAAAAAAAATTCTGTTTATTAATCAATGGGTATTATTAACCAAAAATCAACATCAATAAAATTAGCTTCAAACTATCAATTTTAATTACAAAATGATGTAACAAAATCAAACAATTTATCAAAGTATGCAATTGCTAATTAGTTACTATACAAGGGAAAATAACCACGGCTTGCCAATTTAAACTTGAAGACCCATCCTAATACAGTATCGTCAAGAGCATGGCAGGCATGCAGAGCCTTGGTGCCCAGAACAAATCACGAATAAAATAACTTACTCTAAACAGCCAATTCTTTCTTTAACTGATTGCTTAGATCGTCACAGTCCAGAAGAGGATACATTTAATGTTAGCTACAGAAAATTAGCAGCTTGTTTACAAGCAATTCAAATGAACTCTGAATTGTGCAAAAGCAAAACAGATGGATGCTGGAAATCTGATAGTAAAAGCAAATAATGTTGGAAATATTTATAAGTCAAACAGCATCTGTTTAAAAAAAAAGGAACAGATCTAACATTTCAAGACCTGGAATATTAATTATTTCTCTCTCCACAGATGCTGATTTGTTGAGTATTTCCAGCATGCTGTGTTTATTATGTCTCTCACCACAGTTTTACTTCCACAGAATCCCTACAATGTGAAAATAGGCCATTCGGCCCAACGAGTACACTGACCCTCCGAAGACCACTGCACCCAGGCCCATCCCCCTACCCTAGCCATGTAACCCTACATTTCCCAGGGTTAACACACCTAACCTACACATCCCTTAATACTATGAGTAACTCAGCATGGCCAATCCACCTAACTTGCACATCTTTGGACTTGCACATTTTAGATCTAGAAAATGAGTAATACAAGGTTGGTCATACCAACAATGCTAGAAATGTTTTGTTAGAGCTTATATTGCTATGCGGTTTTATTCAGAAGCGTAATGTCACTGCTAACAAATGTATTCCCTCACACTCAAATGGCACAATATTGAAGCTATTCATAAATGCATTGTTGGGACAACCACATACTAGGACTTGAAGGAGCCACCTGCATTACCCAAGACCAGAAAATATATTCAGACTGGTTTTATGGATACAAGAAGCCATGTAATTTTAACTTTATCCACCAAGGCAAATATTTACTGCTGTTCAGCAGATCATCCTGACAACAAGGAGGAACTCACCATATTATGATACTGAACATAAATCTATGCTCTGACATTCCATGGCGCAGTACACTGGTACACGACCTTTCCCTAACCCACCTACAGATTTTTTTGGAAAATACAAAGTTTCTATTTTATACAATTGTAGGCATAAGTCCAAATAGCAACCCTAATTTTCATGTCCTGTCTAAAACATCTTTACATATGTAAAACAGTTACACCATTATGACAAACCACATGACACTAAATGTTATCTGGTATTGAACTACATATACCAGGCTCAATATCTAAAACCAATATTCGTAGTAAATATGAAATTAAAAAACATCAATACTTAATTTTTGCATCAAGATTGAGATGGCTCTTCGCAGAAAGCTGTCAAGAGGTATTTATTGCAAACATACAAGTTGCTGAACTCTGGCAGAATACATTGTGCTCATCACATGGTTGGGACAAAGAACATTAGCAAAGTATCCTCGCTGTGGTGTATTTAAATTAAGTGTTCTAGCAATTTAAATCCAACATTAGGTTGTAACACAGAAGCTTCAACTCAAAACTGTTAAATAGTCTACAAGGATACTGTAGAATGCAAAGAATAGAGGAATATCATTGGCTCATTTATGTGATAGTGATATCTATTGTGCAAAAAGCAACAATACCCAACCAGAAATACTGAAAAAAATTAAGCGCACAATTACATAAATGGAATTGTGCTAGCCTGATGAAACACACTCTGAATTCACATTAGATATCAGCAAAACAAATGAAAACTAAACAGCTTTGTAAGCTTTGGAACACATAAAACAGATTTACTCGAAAAGCTCCAGGGAGAAAGGAACATTTGCATGGACAGTCTGGCTAAACTGGTATAATTTAAGGAAGAGAAGAAACTGATTGACAGTTGAAGGGTATCAATAAACAGTGAAACTCTTTCCAAAATGGTTGAAGGGTCAATAATGAGGCACAAATTAGTAAAGTATCAGAATTATCTTGAGAGCTTGCAATGCCAATAGGGTAGTGGATGCCAGTTCAATGTAAGCCCTTGAAGAGGAAATTAGAAAAATGAGGCAAAAAAGAAGAAACAGCAGCTGCATCGGAAAAGAACAGGGGAGTGGGGCCAACTGATTGCTCTTTGGAATGAGTCAATGGACTGAATTATCTCCATCTGTCCTACAATATTAAACGATTCCATGATTCACCAAGACATGACTCCACCCAAATTTCTGAGCACAAGGCCATAAAATGAATAATGTGCCATTTGATCACTTTTATAGTGAATGTAAATCCATTAGGAGTTGGCTGGGTAACTTACTAAACAGAAAACGTTTGGAGTCTATTTGAATCTTTGTAACAACCATGAATGCACAGCATATATTTATATTCCATCACCTGGTCCCCAAACATCAATTTGTAACTGAAACATTTCAATGAACTTATTTAGAGTGAGTTATACATGATTATGTGGAGATCAGCATACTTTGACCCAATCTTTCTCTCATTCATACAGTAGCTACCACAGCCAGTGAGCTGTGTAACTGGATAAATACTTTAAATCCTTATTGAATATTGCAATCTTACCAAAAGGGTAATCCCCAGGATTTGGGTTTGAATAAAATCCAGTTCCAGGTGGAACAGGATACTGCTGAGTTGGTTGTACAAATGACGAACGAAACTGTGAAAGCAAAACAACAAATTTCATTTACCTTCACATTTACTTTCAGCTATAAAAGGAAGCTTATCGTAGAAGATCAACTTCTCCATCAAATGCAAATGAATACAGAAAAACTTCCATTTAGTGTCCGCATTAACAGTCTATG